AGACGGCCCTGGTGAACTCGTGAGTGGTGGCTTGTCCACCCATGTCGCGAGTTCTCGTTTTACTAAAAATGTGAGAATTAGCCCAAACTGGAACGTCGAAAAAGATGACGGTAATGGACTCACCCTTCACCAATCACATCATACACGGCCTTGGAGATTCTGTTTGCGTGGTCGTCCAAGCCAAGGTGGCGAAGAAGCATGGATCCAGAAAGGATCATAGCACTGGGATTAGCCTGGTCTTTGCCCTTGATATCGAGGCCAACGTGACGGCAGCCGGGCTCGAAGACAGCAACGTCACGTCCCATGTTGCAGCCAGGAACCACACCAGGTCCACCGACAAGGGCAGCGCCAACGTTGGATAGAATGCCTCCGTACAAGTTGGGCATGACCATCACGTCGAATTGCTGGGGTCGAGAAACGGCCTGCATGGATGCATTGTCGACAATCATGTCGTTAACTTCCAAAGTAGGGTACATCTCGGCGACCTTGTGGAAAGTACTGCGAAACAAGCCATCGGCGAGTTTCATGATGTTTGCCTTATGGATGCAGGTGACCTTCTTTCTGTTGTTGGCGAGAGCAAATCCGAACGCGAATTTAGCGATGCGCTCTGACTTGGCACGGGTGATAATCTTCAGCGACTCGACCACACCCTGTACTGACTGGTGCTCGAGACCAGAGTACTCTCCCTCAGTATTCTCACGGATAATGCAGAGGTCAACATTCTCATGCCGTGTCTTGTAACCGGGAATATTCTTGATCAGAACGATCGAAGCGAAGATATCGAGTTCTTGACGGAGAGCAACGTTGAATGACTGGTGACCCGAGCGCTCAACAGGGGTGAACAGGATACCCTTAAGGCCAAGCTTGTTGCGTCTAAGAGAGGCGATGGATTCCTTGAAGAGCTCCTCCGAATGCTTGTTGCCTGTATCAACACCGCTGACATCTACCTGCTCCCATTCAATAGGAACGTTGTCGGCCTTGAAGATTGTCTTGACTGACTCGGCAACTTCCGCACCGATACCATCGCCTTTGCATCACAGCGGAAAAATTCTCATGTCAGCGATATCGACTACTGACATTCGGGGCAAGGCTTGGGGTGAGCTATAGGTACCTGGAATGAGAGTAACGGTGTACTTGCCGCCATACTTCGTGGGCTTGAAGATGTCGGACTGCACGCTAGCAAAAGCTGAAGACCCAAGTCAATCAATGTCATAGGAAAGCAGCTAGTCCTGCTGCAAAAGCATTGAAGGTACGTACATCTTGCCGGGATCGAGGAGTGGACTAGAGAGCCTGCACCAGCTGCGCGGCGGAGGAAAGCCTGCAGAACAGATAAAATTAGCTTTAATACACAGAAACACGACGTCGAGGCAGGGGGAATGAAGAAGTGCTGCAATGCGGCTGCAATGCTGCTGCCGGGCGGAGGGAAGTAGCCAGATAGAGAAGGGGAAAATGGGACAAGGAATGAGAAAAAGCCCGACCACGAGTCACACAATCTATCTGATGTAGGGTCTTACTAACCTGCGCGGGCTGCGCCGTCCGCAAGGAGAACATTTTGGCAGGCAATGGACAAGAAAAGAAAATGGACAGGAAGAGCAAAGATGAAAAGAATTGTTCCCTGGTGAGCAAGAAAACGCGCAGGCAAAAAGACGGATGGGGTTGGAAAACGAGGTGCACGGCCACGAGGAAGAAGGAGGCGCCGGAAAAAACGGCGGACCATCTCGGCATCCACCAAGTAAGGTGTCTATTCCGTCCTATTATTTGCGCAGTGCCTGTCTCAGAACACGGCCCGATCTTATCTTTCGCCCTCTCCGCGTCATAATATCATCAATCCTCAACATAGAAGTGGGTAACTATGCGCTGAATATTAATTAACAATGGATGAAGAAGAAGCGGGAAAGAATAACCGCTGGGGACAATAATTGCTATAGTCTGCAAGTTATCGCCAGACACTGACAGTTCATTGGTATGAATGCTAAGTACGGAGTACTTCGTAGAGAGATACATCATGATCAAAAGTTCTTTTTCTTGGCTTGCTGGCTAGAGAGATCATTATACCTCTGTGGTACTCACTGAAGGGGATATTCCTCTGTCCCTTAACCACATCTGTTGCAGTCTGTTCTGAGTATATTTTCTGTTCTAGCAGTCTATCAATCAGCTTCAAGACCTCTCTTCAATACTGCTGAAAGAAAGAGATGATGCAAAAGTTTATTGAGGAGATTAACTTTATTGATGGCCCTTTTTGGTTAAGAAATGTCTATTGACACTATTGAATGCACATAAGTGCCTTGATCATCCACTATTTGCATATTCATCCATCATGATAACAGATTCTCTAGGTGAATAACTGGCCTGGGTGGACCCTAGTCAACTTCAATGCTACTTTAAAACTAGGGATCAATAACACAAAGACTAACTCTTATTGAGGAGGTTCTTTTGTGATTGCTATTGATTGAGATCTATTCATGGGATGCACACTTCTTATTCATTCCTCTGCTTCACAGCTTTCTCATCAGATGTTGAATAGAATCACTCAGCCCTGGGAATGCATCTCATGCGTTGCATTTGGCAAGGTCTCTGTACCATGTGCCTACTTAAAGCGCATGAGACCTGCCTCGAATCGATTACTTGATTGATATCAAAGTCGTCAATTCAATTTCAAAGCCAGGCTTTACTTTGCAACCTACAGTGACACATTTCTTTCTATATCTCCACTTCATTTGATCATCGAAGATGAAACTCCTCTCGCTCGTTCTCGCTACCTTCGCTGCCACTGCTGTCCAAGCAGACATTACGCCGTGGTGCCATCTTCCTGGTCAGGGTTGCTACATGCTTAAGCGCGCTGCTGATGCCTCGGATGAAGTCAGACGTTCAGCCAGTGCCGTCGCTGAGGCCATTGCGGAAGCCTTCCCGCAGACTCCGTGGTGCCATCTTCCCGGTCAGGGTTGCGCCAAGGCGAAGAGAGCCGCCGAGGCCGCTGAAGAGGTGAAGCGCTCTGCCGATGCCTTTGCTGAAGCCATGGCTGCTTTTGAGAAGGAATAGGCAAAGTTGGTATCACCCCTTGCGGTCTTCCACCCATGAGATTTGTTTCCCTTTAGACCAGTTGATTCCCTTTTTCTTTTTATTTCCGCCTTTACCGAGCCCCTTTTCTTCTCTGAAGCTGTATGATCTATACTTCTGTTGCAGTCGTTTGAGATACGTTACACCCCGGAGTATCTCGGGCTGGTTGTGATTCTTTACTGAGGCGAGATGTCACAGGTCTGATTTTGGCGCGCCATGTACTGCCGACATTATCTGAAGCCATGACTACGATTATTCGCTTAGCTGATGAAGTTTGGGGCGTGGGACCGAGGCAGGATCGTCTTAATACGTGGCGGCCCAATTCGAAGGGAAGATATGAAGTGTCCCAACGCTGATGGACGAGCAGGGGTTTTGTTTCCAAGTATTCGTGTTGATATTGTGTTTTGACATGGGGCTGGACATATATAAGGCGGAACAGCCTTGTGTTTCCATGGCACCCTGGCCAGACAACTAACTCGTCATTCTTTCTTCTTACAATGGTTGAGCTGGCATATATCACTACCTCCCAAGCTGCTGCAAGATTTGCCTCGCATTAACTTATGTGTACTTGTTTGACCTGTGGCAAAATCACGCGGATAAGGTGTGATGTTTGTAAGAAGTTGTATCATAAAGCCCTGTAAAACAAGACTGTAGTCTTTCGGTAAGTAATCTAATTCCTTATGTACTGGGCATCACAGTAACAGTGCACATTAATCCACTTTGGATTAACCATGGTCTTCTTTGACTTTCACTGGTGCCTAACATGGGAGAAGTGTAGCTACTCTAATGAATCACTATATTCCTAGATACAATATATATCCTCATCCGTGCATAGGTGCGGTAGCATAAGAATTTAGATAAACAGAAGCAAGTCTCATTGTTGTAGCCTCCGGAATTCTGACTCCCAAGGCTACCAGAAAATACACGAAGCAGGATAACTCAGGCAGATTGCTTCAGTTGGACCAATTATTCCCAACCTTATAAAGGTATTTATAAACGGCAGTGCAGGACTGCATAAATGTACGCTGCCACTAGGAGAGGTACAGGAAATAATACCTACTAGCTTGGTGATCAAGCTCTCCATGGGGATACGTTATGACTCTGATTTGGATATTTCACCAATATTAGATCTGATAATCTTGGTATATCCACAGATAAAACTAATGTGGTTGACCCCACCATCATCAAAGCAGAGGATGGGGCTCGCAGATGGGAAAATGCAGGAAATTTGTGTCAGGTCAGGGCTCCCGGGTATGGCACAGCGTCGTAAGGTACCATGGGCTTTGAATCTATAACACCATCGAGTCGACTAGGACAGAAGAACCCAAGTGAAAGCTGTAGGGTTGATACATGGATTGTAAGCAACCCTGCACTCAGGACACACCGTAGTGGCTTACAATTCATCAGGTGTTTAGGCCATTCCACCACTGCGCAGGCCCCTGATATAGGATAGCCATTCCCTGCAGTTATACTAACAAGATCAGCTCTCCCAGATAGTTTCAAAAGGACAAAGTGCGAGTGATACAGAGCAAAAATCCGTGCTGACAATGCCAGATGAACAAGGGCAGGGTGATACGCTAAAGGATAATTCACTGTCATATCTCCAAACTCTTAATACGTGTGAATTCATGGAATTACTCTGGTGCAACTTTACCGGAATGTACACAGGCTATCTCTTGTTGTTCTTTGAAGCCATGATAGTGTACCTAGATAAGTCCCCCATGCTTGATTATCATATTGGCTTTGAGAGAGATGCGCCACCTAGGTGCATCCCAAGGTCACCGCTCAATGGACCTAAGTTTAAGAAACAATACCACCCATTAAATAGACGGAAAATCAACACCAAATGTGGATCCTAGACTAAGGGGTCGGAGATGTAAGCGTCACTTTCATCACAATTCAGCTATATTGAGCAATGAAGCCCCTCCTGTCGATCAAATGCATCAGCTTAAGTCCATGGGCTCTGTTGCTGCCTGGCGCGCCACATGCGAGGAATGATGGTAGTGCTGTGTGATACTATAAACGATCGGACGGAGGACTTTTTTGTCCTTTGGTGGTTCAGACCCGACGCTCATCTGTTTTGCAAAGAGCGTCGCAAGGTCATTTTGCATTGCAATATTACTCTCAGACGCCGATAGGCCACACTGAATCCGTCACTAGTCAGGAGCTCAGACAGAGGATGGTCAAGGAAAGATCCCCACCTCTGCACAACTAGGGTCCATAATGAATGCTGCTAGCGCGGTAGACACGTCTGTGATTTTTCCGCAAAAGGCACAGGTATGCAGAATAGAGGAGGACATTTCGGGAGTGCTGGCCGATATGTAGGCAGAGAAAAGATCAATCGACAATGCCGACTAGCGATTATGGGACGTCAAGCAGGGGTGAGGGCGGGATATGCGTAATATATAATGAATTTGTCTGCCAGACAGAGACTGGAGTCGAGCTGATGACTCTACTACCAAGCAGAGATCAGGAATTGGAAAGAGAACGGTTGGGATCAAGAAGGGGAAAAATTGAAGGACTCTCGAAGGCGATAAGAGATCCATATAATTCGTTGGATGCCCAAGATATTGGGACTCGAAGCAACAGGTTGGGCACATAACAAGAGGAGTTTACTTAAGCCGGGGCTTGTCCAGAGTACAATCAACAAGCAGGCATCTTCTGCTTCATGCGCAGTGAACAGCCTCTCAAATTAATGCTAGAGATTTATGGTGGACTTCAGCCAGATATGATAGTGGACACCCACCTCTCATAAGTCATGACTTTTATCAAAGGAAAAGGTGGTAAAACATTAATACCTCTCTACTACCCCTCTATGTGGGAACTATTTCCATCTGTCATAAGGCTTGCAGTGCCATGAGCATTATTAAGATAATGGTTGCAAAGTTATGTAGTATAATTACATGTATTAGTCATATTTTATGTATTATGTTCATAGATGAATCATAAATCATGTGATAATAGCTGTTCTTAGCTACATACAGTACTGATAGGCAGAAACCCCGTGACGCGATCATAGCTACCTACCTGGAGTCGGCAAGTTAGCTTGCACATACTGCTGCTTATAGCTTATCTTGAACCTCTCACATATCATTGACATCTGATCCATTACCTTCACGGTAACTCTCTTTTACTTTTTATTTGTTCATGCCTGAGTATTTATCTCATTAGTTGATACTCACCTTCCTGCCACTGCTCTCATCTCACCTGTGGTTGTCTGTCCAACGTCACAGCTATGGTTCAGTCCCTCTCTCCTCTGCTGATGTTAAAATATCCAAGGATCTGACATCAACTCCATTATAGACATCTATCGGTACTGGTTATGACCTTTCAAACTCCGTCTTTTCTCCAGACGGTCGCAATTTTCAGGTATTTTGATAAACTCCATCTGGCGAGCTAGGAGGTACTCATACACGCCGCAGGTGGAATACGCAGTCAAGGCGGTCGAAAATGGAGGGACAGCTATCGGTATTAGATGCAAGGACGGAGTTGTCCTGGCGGTAGAAAAGATCGTCACCAGTAAGCTTTTGAAGCCAGGTGCGAATAAGAAGATCGCGACAGTGGATCGCCATGTGGGCATTGTAAGGCAACAACAGTGTTTTGATGTTGACAGAGCAGCGTCTCATTGCTACGAATCAGTGCATGCTAATTCATATATGCACGTGTCCCAGGTCTCAGCGGGATTAGTCCCAGATGGTCGTCACTTCGTTTCGCGAGCTAGAGACGAAGCTTCCTCGTGGAGAAGCGTATACAAAGGGCCCATCCCGATCTCCGCCCTGGCCAATCGCCTTGGTAGTTATGTCCAAGCTTACACTCTCTACTCCAGTGTACGACCATTTGGGGTTACAGCTATTGTCGGAGGTTGGGATTCTGAAACCGAACTTGCTGTTGATGGTCAAGTAGGAACCGGACCGGCTTCGGGTTCCGGCGGTAAGATTTCAGGCGCGAAGGTTGGTGGGCCGGGTCTTTATATGATCGAGCCCAGTGGGCTATACTGGGTAAGATGATTGTGGGCGTTCATCTCCTTTCTCGTGCTAACTTTATAAGGGTTACTACGGCGCGGCCACTGGCAAGGGAAGACAGGCAGCGAAAGCTGAACTTGAGAAGCTGGACCTAGCCTCCGAAAAGTTGACTCTGCTCGATGCCGTCAGAGAAGCCGCCCGTATCATATACGTGGCCCACGAAGACAGCAAGGACAAGGAGTTTGAGTTGGAGATGTCTTGGATCAGCTCATTAGACGGTCCGACCAAAGGGAAGCATGAAGAGGTACCTAGGGAACTTCTTGAAGAGGCCGAAAAGGCAGCGAAGAGAGCTTTGGAGGGGGAAGACGAGGACGAGGAAGAGACGACAAAGAATGATGGCAATGAAGGCGAGCGAATGGAGGAATAGATTCGCAAATTAAAGATCACTACCCGACAAATAATACAAGAATAACCAGATCCCTTCAGGGCGGCCAAGGGGTTAACTATCGTCACTCGTATTCTAGGCCCAATAGTGTTTTATTTTTTATTATTTTTTTGGGGGCCTTTACCTCTCCGTCTATCGAGCGACGGGTGTTGTAACAGTCTCTGGTCTGGTTCTGTTGAAGCCATTTGCCTTTGCTAATTGCCGTGAGACTAAACGATTTTTCCTTCTACCCAGTCTCTTCTCTTCAAACCAAGTTCCACGGCGGCTTTACCCCAATCCTCGCCATGATTATGCATTCCCTTCTTGCCAAGACCAGCTCTTTCCAGGCCTTGTTCTTCCGTCAGAACAGTGAGCACTCCGAAAATTACTGGCACGCCAGTATCAAGTTGGACACGCATCAACCCATGAGACACGGCATCCGCAATGTACTCGAAATGCATTGTCTCTCCCTTGATGAGAACACCGATAGCAATAATGGCATCAAAAGGCTTAGATGCAGTCGAAGTTGGCGATGTCTTACTCAGGTCTGCAGTAGAGGACGATAATAAATCCGTAGCACTGATCCCTCCTGCGGATGATGATCCTTTGGCAGCCTGGAGCTGCGAGGCCGTGTACATCCTAGTAGAGATCTCAGATCAGATAGGCCTATAACAGAAAGGCAGAACACAAGACTGTGTCTCCGTCTTGCCTTTGGAATCGCCATGTCTTACCGCTGAGCAGCAAAGGGTAATTCGTAACTGCCGGGCACTGTCTCAAGGGTGATATCCTCTTCAAGTACTCCGGCCGCCAAAAGGCTTTTTTTGGCCCCTTCCACGAGAGGCTGGATTATTGCCATGTTCCATCTAGCATGAACTATGGCAACGCGAAGCCCAGAGCCTTCAAAGCGGGAGATGAAGCATAAGCAAACGCGTCACGGAATACAGATGAATCCCTCACCATCAAAAGCCTGAGCAGCCCCTGGCCCTTTCACTGATGTCATTTTTGAGTACGGTGTCTTCCTCCGAAAGTTCGTTGGCAATGAATCGGGGAAACAGGTGGTTCGTTAGGCCGAGGGGTTCTTTGGAATACGAAAGTCTTGTGGGGGAACTGGAAGTCAGTCACCGACTCCCCGCTTGGTGGAAAATTACAGGGAGCTACTCCGTACCAATCCATGCAGTTTACAGCAAAACCCATATACAGAGTGTAATTCTTCACCGGCCCTTTGGCTTTAGGATACCGATCTGCGAACCACTGAACATCGGCACCATGTGACTAAACATATACCAAAGGGACATAATGTTCCCGGACGTGAACAATGCTATGAGAGTCCCAGATGTGGCTTTAGTCAAATGGCCAGCATTATAGTTCGAGCAGAGGTGGATAATATTAGCATCTAGACTACAATAACCGTACCACTTCTTCCCATTTCCCTGGGGTATGAATGTGTAAAGTGAACGATGTAACAAAGATACTGGAAACCATTCTTTCTCTAACAACTCATGTGCCAGATCCACGATCCCTATGTACCATGGGTGAAATGGCGATTTATTCAACAGTGACCGATTTTGCGAGGTTGCGCGGGAAATCAACGTTGAGTCCCTCTCCAACAGCAAGCCAATAGGCAATAAGCTGCAGTGGAATAACGTTGAGAAGTCCCTGCAGACAATCGACGGTCTTTGGGACCTCAATCTTTTCGGTCTGGGCGGAAGAGAACTCTGGGTCGTCATGGTTACAAATCACAATGGGACGGCCACCGCGAGCAATCACTGATTCTTGGTTAGAGGTATCTAAGACGAAGGCAGGAGGGAAAGATAGCTCACCCTGTTGATAAGCATTCAGAGATTTTGAGAAAATATTGTCCCTCGTAAGAATCATGATGATGGGCAGATTCTCGTCGACCAAAGCAAGGACGCCGTGTTTCAGTTCACCCGACATGACGGCCTCACAATGGAGATAGGATATTTCCTTGATTTTGAGTGCTCCTGCAAAGTCATTAGCGTCTGAAGTACCTCAAGTGGGGATACTGTAATGCTGACCTTCGAGAGCCGTGGGGAATTGGCTGCCTCTGCCCAAAAGGAGTAAACTCTTTTGGTCCTTGAAAAATTTCGCGCACATCTGTTTGATGGGTTCATTCAACTTCAGTATCTCTCTGAACTGTCCAGAGATTTTCGAAAGACCGTCCATGATTTCCTCCCGTCGCTTTTGCTTCGAAGCGCGATCCTCGCTCAGAGAGAGTGCGAACATGACCATGGCAACGAATTGGGACGTATAGGCCTTGGTGGAAGCAACGCCAATTTCAGGACCAGCATTGATATGCACACCACAGTGGGTTAAGAGAGAAATGGAAGATCCCACGACGTTGACAATGCCGACAGTCAATGCTCCTCGTTCAAGGCAATAGCGAAGAGCCATGAGTGAATCGGCAGTCTCACCCGATTGGGAGACAAAAACACAAGTATCGTCCCGGAAAACAGGTGCCTGCCTGTCCAAGAAGTCCGAGGCAAGTTCAACTGATATGGGGATTTCAGTGAGCTCTTCAAAAACACCACGTACGGCCATGCATGAATGATAGCTGGTTCCACAAGCAATGAAAATGATTCGTCTGCAGCGACGAATAGTGGAAATATACTGCCGGAGCCCCCCAAGTGTGACTTGCTTGTTTGCAACATCCAATCGACCTCTCATGGTATTGACAACTGACTCGGGCTGTTCAAAGATCTCCTTCTGCATGAAATGATCGAATTTGCCCTTCATGATTTCCTGAAGCTCCAGCTCAATGGTTTGGATAGCGCGCACGTTCGAGGTACCATCATCCTTTGTGAGACGGTGGATATTCAGTTGGCCTTCATGGACATGGGCGATATCGTCATCTTCGAGATAAAGCACTTTCTTCGTGTGCTCAACGATCGCAGACGGATCAGAAGACAGGAAAAACTCTGCTGGCTGGGGGATGCCATCATCTGAAAGAAACGCACGCGACTGCGACCGGTGCAGGAGGGATTTATCAGGTGGAGCCAGAAGCCCGGTAGCGGATTTCTTGATAGCTACGTTCTGAGAAGCCTGCTCAGCGGGAAGAGGTCCATCTTCCGAGTACTCCACGTCGACGAAGTCCACCTTCATCTTCTTTGATGTCCTCACGCCGATGACGAGCGGAGAACCCTTGCGAGCCGCAATTACCTCATGAGGGTAATGGACAGACTTAATGAGGAGACCAAAAGCACCCGCGAGCTCTTTCACAACAGCCTTGGCGAGGACTGTGAACTCAATGTCGGGCTGCTGGTCGTACAAGTATTTCGCAAGCTTGGCAATACATTCCGTGTCAGTTTCAGTCTCAAACCGGAACCCCTTGCTCTCTAGCAAAGCTTTAAGTTCCTTGTAGTTCGTAATGATGCCGTTGTGAACAACTGCGAATTCCCAATTTGGATCAGATCTGTCGGACAAAATGTGCGTTAGTTCAATGAAGGAGCCACAATCATGGTTGCCCATTGAATGCCAAATGTTTTGCTGAGACCGGTGATGCACTTACCGGTGAGGGTGGCAATTCTGGCGAGAGGGTGTCCCGTGAGTAGCCCAGCGTGTGTGAGCAATACCAGCGTGGGACTCGAAAGTCTTCGTCATGTCGGGCTTGGATTCCTCAATGAGCTCCTTCAGTTTCGCGACCTTACCAACTTCCTTGAAGGCGCAAACTTCATTCTTTTTATCACCATCCACCGCAAAGCCTGCCGAGTCGTAACCGCGGTATTCGAGTCTGGAGAGTCCTGCATTTCATACTGTAAGATTGCTATCAGAGTAAATGCAGGGAGTCACGTACCATTGAGCAACGTATCAATGATGTATTTACGATCTCTCTCCACAAGGTAATTGATATAGCCGAAGATGCCACTAAGTCACGTTAACAGGCCGTATATTAATTAAATTATCTTGGAAAGGAAGTAGAGGTCTATTCAAAATAACATACCACATCGTGGAAGACTATTCAGGTAGAGTTGGATGGGCTCGGAGAAGTTGTAAGGCAAGACTAGGGCTCCCAGAGGAAGCTTTTTACCTGGCAAGGAGACCGAAAAGACCGGAAAGGAGGGCGGTTGTGAAGAAGGAAGGCAAGAACTCTGGACGACGAGGGTAATCAATCACAAACGAGGAATAGGGTTGATGAGACTGCCCGAAGGTAGAGGCGGAGGCAGATATTGGTTGTTGACTGCTGTTGAATTGTTCAGGATGTTCTGCGAGGTGTGAATAAATGCAATGGGTTTAAGGGGAGCGACTGAACGAGTGAAGGGAGGGGTCAATAATGAAAGGCAGAGGGGAGTTGAGTTGACACAGGATCAACCAGCTGAGAGGAGGGGGAGCTGTTATGTTTTATGTTGCCGCGTTACAGGATAGACCCACCCACAGGACCAGGGAAGCTGCTACAGAATGGAGCAATGGCGTTCCCATCCTTCCTTTATTCAAGTAAGCAAGTGAGCAAGTCAGGAAGTGGCCAACAACCAGCGGTTGCTGCAGCGTCTGCGCCTCGTAGCCACACACACACACACATACAGACATCGGCTGGAATGTCTCACCCCAACTCGATCCGAAACAAACATTGATGGTTGGCATACATAGGTGTGGAGAGCTACCTATCCCTCTTAAAAATGCTGGTACCGACTTATCATACTAGATAGATAGTAGTGGGTGTTAAAAATAAACGCAGATGGATAGTGTGAGTTAGCCAAAGTGTTGCTATATACAGAACAGGTAACTATACCCCCGGTACTCCTAGTCTCCTACTGTGCTGGTCCCCATTCCTACTTTACTTGGGAGTGTACAGAAATAACATCCGGACTACTCTGCAGAAATCTGTTATCTCTTTTACTTCTCTTGTGGTCCATGATGGGCGGGCTCTGTCCACAGAGCATTAGCCTCGCTATGGAACTACCACGATTTGATAGCTCTCAAGTACAGTACCTGCAGGGAAATCCAACGTATTCAGAATTTTCCAATATTATTTCAATACATTTGATCTAGGGTAAGAAACACAGCCACTGGTCCCATCATCTTCCTCACTGATTCCAAAATTGTATCTTGGTAATATTGCCATGTTGCCATAAATACTAGAGAATTAAAATAAAATAATTTCTTTAAGGACACACAAACATCCGGATATACACATATGATCATTATATATTAATGAAGTACCTAGTATGTAATATAGGTAATTACATGGTTAGAGTTCCTTACACAACTCTGTACTCCGTAGATACATAGTAAAAGGACAATTATCAATGTGAGAACTATCTTCCTAGACATTACTATTTTTAACATCATGCACTTAAGTTCCACATATTAGTGTTACCTTTCTTACACATTATTATATGATAAGGTACCTCTCTTCTGAGGTACTCAATATAGGTAGGTAGGTATCCATGTGGGCCAAGGTTAGCAACATTTCACAAATCCTGTAGGAAACCCTTATATGATCATCCATCAGTAAATCTCGCTGCATTGGAATAGTACACTGATAATATGACCACCTACGAACTACCTTACCATCTAGTGACTCTTCCATAGCAAAATAAAGTAAACTAAGGTTGAACATTCGACTATCTCAGTCAGCAATAGTAAGTAATAGTACAAGTTCCACTATGGAACACGGTTACCATTCCATCGGGACGGAGTACTTCATGGGTTTGTTATCCTCCAATTGACTCTGAGTTGTCTGGGAACATCTGATTCATCGACCATGTTGCGTGTCTTCCAACTTCAGCTGGCTCTTACTTTCTGCGCCTTGCTGTTCGTTCGCCACATATCCTAACTACTACTCCCTAGGGCTATTTATCAGTTTTCTACCTTTTTTCCATATTTGAAATCTTTGTTTATTTCATCCTTGTCGTCTTTCTTTTTCAGATTCAAGGTTTTGAGTTTCGGCACATTTCACCATCGCAAAGGTACTGCTGCTATCTGAACACTAGGGTCTCTGAATCGCTCGTAGCTCGATTGGAAGTGCGTGAGAATATTACATGAGGAGGGTAGCTGTCGCTCTGAGCACAACAACAACATGAAAATCGGACAAAACCGCGAGGGGGCCGGCTTGATGGAACTGACCACGGGAAAGACGCACGTTGGACGCATGTTGGATTTGTCTCGGTCTCCCCCTAAAATACACGAATTCATCACGGCCTGCTCGACACAACAGGACATAATATCGCCTCAAGACCATTCACTGCAGAGCCTCAATGAGATGGCAGACGGCCGTTGCTTTATGTTTCCTGGTAACGTGTGTATAGCAAAGCTCGAGGCCTGGGAACTCGACTTGAAGCGGTGAAATTTAGAATTTTAAATCAAATTTCGAGAGACCAAGAAATTTTGGGTGATGTCTTCCCAAAAAAGGGCGGAACAAAGGTTTATCCAGGGCATAGTTTCATGGGCAGTCGAAGCGCGTTTCGAGGAGCGACAGTAGTGCATGGATATACATCTCTCATGACGACGAATCAGAATCTTGCATACCCCCGGCGATCTCACAACAACTAACGTAAATGAGTCGGGAGAACAGTGTAAAAACATCAGAATATCGAGTTTCTCCTGGAAAGCACGATATGACACTAGAGAGCCTCGGGGGCTATGGTTTCTGTACAATGTCACAGGTGGGTGTCATGGAACTGGTGACAGAGGAATGGAGTAGTCAGCAATGCATTCCGATATGTTTTTGAGAGGAGTGGTAGATTTTCATAACTAGCCTCTTCTCAACACCACAATGAATTTATAGATGTTCGGCAGTGAACGCACTGGACCCCATTTTCAGAGACATCTATCTAGCAGAATTGAGACACAACCTGCGCCGACTTCATGGAATTAGTTCCTCGACCACAAGGTCTTCCAGTGACTTGCTTTGTTCGCGTTCCTGGGCCACCAGCTTGATCGCGTCGGCAGGCGTGCTCATTTCCGGTTCAACTCCGCTTTTCTGCCCATGAGCCCCAAATAATCAGTACACTATCGAATTATCAAGGTTACTACTTCCACTACTAATAATTTTATTACTTTTCTTCGTCTCATTTATACGTCAAAACTTACTGCTTTCACTTCCCTTTGCTCCCTGCTTCCGGCTTATTAGGATTGGCCCCACCGATTGCCCAGCAACCGTTGACATCTGTGCCATCCTGTCAGGAAATTTCCCTGGCCGTGGGTCATCGCATGAGCAGCTAGACCGCGGTCAAGGATGCTGCGTTCTGATCGCGGCCTGTTCTTTTCTGGCTTGTGAGCCATCTTCCATTATGTCGCGCACATCGGCAGGCTTTGCGGACTTCTTTCCCACTGCCCCGTCGGTCCTTCAACAAAAAAGAGTGAGAGCGCCGCGAGATCGATCTCGCTCCAAGGATCGGCCCGAGGATCTGCTTCATGTCCAGGATGGCAATGGACAATTGGCCTGCTCTTCTGGAGCAAGCGCAGCCAACGTTTCTACGAATGGCAGCCCTCCTAGCGTATCAGCATCGGAAACTGGTATGGGTGTAGAGAAACCCAAAAGCAAACTCGTTGGAGAAACGAACACGGACATAACGGGTACGGATACATCTATTTTAAGTGCATCGCTTGCTCAGTGTCGTGCAACGCAGGTGAACGAGGCACGGTTCGATAATCTCACCCCGGTCACCAACGCAGAGTCGTCTCCGCCTCGCAAGTTGAGTCCTCATCAATCCAAGTCCGTTGAAGTGGCCGAATACGAATCGAACAAGTTTGCAACCGATGAATTGAAACTTGCTGCTACACCCCTACATACACCGCCAACACCACGGTCGCAAACATCGCGCAGTGGTGTAATCAAGGGTTGCAAGTTGGTTTACGACCCCGATCTTGAGAAGAGATCGTCGAAGGAAAAGAGAAGAAAGCCACAGTATGTGGACTTTGTGCTGAATGAACAAGACGGCTGTTCACCCGACCCGCGTCTGAGTATTCTGAATTACACTCGAGGTGCCGGCTGTAAGCAGAAGACCAAATACCGGCCGGCTCCTTATAGACTGAAACAGTGGCCCTATGATACTGCAACTACTATCGGTCCCGGACCCCCCGTCCAAATAGTGGTCACTGGCTTCGATCCCCTGAGCCCAGTGGCTCCGATAAACGCGCTTTTTTCAAGCTTCGGTGAGATTTCAGAGATAAATAATCGCACAGACCCGATTACAGGTCGATTTCTTGGAGTATGTTCAGTCAAGTACAAAGACAGCACCTCTTTTCGAGGTGCCGGGCCAATACCAGCGGCGACCGCGGCCAGGCGAGCCTACGTTGAATGCAAGAAGGAGCAACGGATTGGGACACGAAGGATCAGGGTTGAACTAGATCGGGATGGTGCTGTCTCAGACAGAATTGTTGCAAGGGCCATCGAGTCTCAGCGAATGGGACATAAGAAGAACACAGTCGGAGAAGAGGCAAAAATTGAGCCTCAAGCAAAAAAGAATGAACCACCGCCGACAGCTCCCAAAGGCCCTTCAAGATCTTCCACGCGTCCGGTAGCCGCTGTACCCGAAGGTCCAAGAGCGAGCTTTCTCAAGCCCGCCATGCCCTCTCTGATAGAGGAAACACCCATATTAGGGCAAATCAAGCGGGATCCATATATCTTCATCGCGCACTGTTACGTTCCTGTTTTGAGCACAACGATTCCGCATCTGAAGAAAAGACTCAAGTTATTCGACTGGAAAGACATTCGATGCGATAAAACTGGGTACTATATCATCTTCGAGAATTCTAGGCGCGGTGAGGAGGAAACCGAGCGTTGTTTCAAAGTATGCCATATGAAGCCTCTTTTTACTTACATCATGAATATGGAAAGCCAGCCCTATGGCAATCCCAACTATGAGCGAAGTCCGAGCCCAGAACGACTCCAGGCAGAGCGACGGGAACGGGCAGAGAGAGAAAGGCTGAAAAAAGAGGCGGATTTGGATCTCGAGGAAGAAAAGAAACAGCGAGCGATTGATTTGGACCCATGCAGAGAAGTCCTGGCTCTCATCGTCCGCGATTTGAAAGATAAGCTTCTTGAGGATGTGAAATCACGCATCGCCGCCCCAACATTATATGACTATCTCGACCCTGACAGACATGCGGCAAGGAGGCGAGCTCTGGGCATTCCTGATCCTGAGGGGATCAGAAGACATCCTTTTCAACTTGATGTTGATACTTTCGGATCCAGCAATCCCCAGTCTTCCTTACCAGGTGGCCGTTCATTCAGCCCGTATGGCCTTAACATACTTGCGCTCCCACGCATCCGAAAAGCTCGTCGTTTGAACCGTGCCGATGCTGCCTTCTTAGATGAGAGGCGTAAGCAGCCTGTTCGGAGAAAGGAAGTACGTCCTCTCTATCACAGACTGCAGCAATTGCATGACGTCGACGACTCTGATGAGGACCAACGTACTCCATACTCGAGGGATATTGATGAACAGTATAGTCGTCCACCGAGTCGGATGAGTTCCAGATCTTCAATTTCCGATGACGGCGAGGAATCAGAACCCTTGGATGGACTAGCTTCCCAAGACAAAAGGCATGAAGCGCGGCTCCTAGGCTTGGAATATGGGGATAGCGTTACGACCCTTAACGAAATAGTCGACGGGTATTCCCGGCGTGATTCGCCTGGTCTCTCCTCTACGCGCAAAAGAAAAAGGGTCGCGGAAGGAATTGAAGCTCGCAAACGACCCAAGGAGGAAAGCGAGCGGTCAGAGTTGAATCGCTCTGTGGAGACTGAAAATACGTTGTTCTACGAGGAGTCTCAACCCTCAGAAGCTGCTGAGCTTGGAACTGTGAAGCCGGAAAACCTCGCTGGCATCGGGGGTAAATTCCTGGGTCGATTGGAAGACAGGTCAGTCAAGGAGGACGGTGAGAAAGAGAATGTGGAAAGGCTGCAGATCAAGTCTGCCATACAAGGAACGAATCTCGAAGTTCAGCCGCCATTACCTGATGGATCTACTATTGCAAAGAGCCATGAAGACCCGGTTACAGAGATCGAATGGGGGGTGTCTAATGATGAACCTCGTCCGACTGTGGATGATGATGAAACCATAATCTTGGATTTGGACGGCTGGCAGAATCTCGTCAAAGATGAGGAGGATCTCTGCTTCCTTCGCCATGTTCTGGACGGGCAGTCGAGATCCAAGGTTGGAAATCTATCGGCATGGGCTTGGCGACAGAAAGAGATTAAAGCTCTCAACCGTCCCGGTGAAAGTGGGCCCGTCCACCAAGAGACTAGGATACCGGATTACTACGTTTCCAACCCCACTGGAGCTGCTCGGACCGAAGGAAGAAAGAGAATCTTGGAGTCGGAGAAGTCTAAATACCTGCCGCACCGCATCAAAGTTCAGAAGGCTCGAGAAGAACGGGAGGCCAACGCAAAGAGCGATCCTCATGCTTCTGCTGCAGAAGCCGCTAGGATCTCCGCGGCGAAGACGATATCTAAATCCACTTCGAGATCGACAAGGGTCAATAATCGCAGGCTGGTTGCAGACATCAATGCGCAAAAGCAGGCTCTCCCTATGCAAGGTGGAGATGGTGATGTTCTCCGTTTCAACCAGTTGAAGAAACGAAAGAAGCCAGTGCGCTTTGCTCGGTCAGCGATTCACAATTGGGGTCTGTACGCGGAAGAGAACATTTCAGCGAATGATATGATCATAGAGTATGTTGGTGAAAAGGTGCGACAGCAGGTGGCAGACATGAGGGAGAGGCAGTACTTGAAGAGCGGGATAGGTAGCAGCTACCTTTTCCGAATCGACGAGAATACTGTTATAGATGCCACCAAGAGAGGGGGTATTGCTCGCTTCATCAACCACAGCTGTACTCCTAATTGCACTGCAAAGATCATCAAGGTTGATGGTAGCAAGAGAATTGTTATATATGCTCTCAGGGACATTGGAAGAGGTAATTCTGACAGACAAGCCAACTGACTCTACATCCGGACATAAGCTAACAGGTATGCAGATGAAGAGCTGACCTACGACTACAAATTCGAACGTGAATGGGACAGTGACGACAGAATTCCCTGCCTCTGCGGCTCGACTGGTTGCAAAGGGTTCCTTAATTAAGGTCACCCGAGATACCTCGCAGTTGACTTGGACACTGCACTCTCTATCGAGTGCAAAAGTAAAGCCTTCCGAGTTCCAAGTTCTTTCATTTATTGCGCCGCCATTAGATTCGCCTGGATTCTTTCTCACTCTGTCGTGGTTTCATAGACTGATTGAGTTGGCTCCAAACTTTCGCATTACGATGTTCTGTTCAGCTTTGAGCAAGTATTCATGTATTATTGGTTTCTTTTCGTGCTCCTGGGGCACCGATATCTAGCTCATGGCCACT